CGGCAACGGCCTTATCTTTTTCGTTGGTATCAACACCATTTTCAGCACCCATGCGCAGTCTCAATGTGTTCTTATTACAAATACCTTGGTACTGTAAGTTTTCCCGCTCTTTATCCGTTCTCCAGAGATCCATGTAACAATAGTATACATCGCTATCGTCGATACACAAAACCTCATTACCGCTAATTTTAATCGCAATTTTCTTAACGATAGCACGACCTATGTTCTGAACGGGCTCCCTGTTAACGTCGGTAGAAGTCAAACTAATCGTAAATGCTAGTCGGACAGTTCCCGGAACGAACACATCGTGTGCGCCGAGATTAGGAAAGCGAACCAGAAGCGTTTGATTCTGATCTATGGTACTAGGGTTATTAGTTATAGTTACAGACTGACAAATTGCTTTGACCCCTAATGGATCTCGAAGTCTACGTTGTGGGTTTAACTTGCGTCCGTATTGCGAAGACATTGTTTATATTGAAATTATGTACCCTATGTTTAATATAAAAATGGCTAATTTTGAACATAATGACTTTGATCTAAGTACCTTTGATGACTTTGATAACCCAAACGAAGAGGGTACTGATGAAACCAGGTTTAGTAGTCTTAACGATGAACTTTTACAATCGTCCGTCAATGATTATTACGATGCATTAAAAGATGATACCCCAATAGGTCGTGACTATTCAAAGTTTACGATAGATAGTAAAGGAATATTGCGACTGCGTGGCGCTCCGGATATTGATCTTATGCATTCTCGTACTCGTAAGCCCCTAGCCTTGCCTACGATAGCTGCTAAACATGGCATCGGCACTGTTCGTGATAAATTAGGTTTTGTGGACTACCGACGACTTTCCGCGAAGACTACTAAGGTTCTTCGAACCGTGCGTGATGAACTCGTTAATACAGATGATTTGGAGGCTTCCTCGAAGGTGGCCTCAGACGGACTCGGAGAAATCTTAGATACTCATTACGATAATTCCACGTTACAGGTACCATATTCGGAGTTCAGTATTAGGGAATTACGAGGTCTTGACAAGGCAATGCGAACAATGCGGGGAGAACTCATCAATAATATAGCCAAGATATCCGAAATCGACAAGCATATAGCTCAAGAGAAAACAAAATTTGAACAGGCGGGCGATGAGTTCAGTAGACGCCGCGTGGCGGAAAGATTGCGTAACTTAGAAGACGAAAGATCAGCCCGCCTCGAAGCAGCATACTCCCGGGAATAACAAATGGTCAGTCTATTGAACTGCTTCATACTATCGATAACTCGGATGGACAACTCGAAGTAGCTCTATGTGATGTAACATATTACCCACTGTGGACCAATATAAATGCCATAAAAAGAAATAATGAGATGATTATACCAGGTGAAAGCAATAGTATTGAAAAACGCATTACTATACCTGATGAGTATTACAGCGTATGCTCACTCAATGATGAAATTTTTAAGCCTATGCATATGGGAGCTAGTCTCATACAAAATGAGTCGAATGGGGCGCTGATTTTAAACGCTGGAGTAACAAGTATACTTATTGGTGAGAACTTAGCAATTACACTTGGATTTGGACAGCCAGTAATATTAGCACCCCACGAATCAGTGATTGTATATGCATTACCCGATTTAGTTCCCTATAAAGAGTTGTGTATCCATCTTGATCAGATCAGTACGACGGATAATATTCAACAAGAAAGTCCTTCAACTCTGCTCAGAAGTGTTCCAGTAAAAAATGAAAAATATAATAGTGGTAGAACGGAATCTTTCTCAACATTACAATATAAAAAATTAAAGCGGGGTATTATTTCAGACCTCAAAATTTCTGTATTAGATGTAAAACACCAACCTGTACATATAGGATACTTAAGTGTAACACTCCATATTAAAAATAATGGTTGATTCCATATTTAAGTTATGATATAGTATCATTGTATATTTGATATGTATGTTACACTACCTGGAATAACAAATGGTCAGTCTATTGAACTGCTTCATACTATCGATAACTGGGATGGACAACTCAAAGTAGCTCTATGTGATGTAACGTATTACCCACTGTGGACCAATATAAATGCTTCGGAAGTTTATAGAGATATTATTATACCTGATGGTGATTTCATTTCTATACCTGATGGGTATTACAGCGTATGCTCACTCAATGATGAAATTTTTAAGCGTTTGGGATCTAGTCTCACACAAAATGAGGCGACTGGGAGACTGGAAATAAACAATGGGAAAAAAGATATATATATTCACGAGAACTTATTAGTTACACTTGGATTTGCAACACCACCAAGTGGTATCTACAGTTCTATGAGTTTAATACCTGGAAGAGCTTCTGGAGAAAAATTACCCGATTTAGTTCCCTATAAAGAGTTGTTCATCCATCTTGATCAAATAAGCACGACGGATAATATTCAACTAGAAAGTCCTTCAACTCTGCTCAGATCTATTCCAGTTAAAAATGAAAAATACAATAGCGGTAGAACGGAATCTTTCTCGTCATTACAATATAAAAAATTGAAGCGTGGTATTATTTCAGACCTCAAAATTTCTGTATTAGATGTAAAACACCAACCTGTACATATAGGATACTTAAGTGTAACACTCCATATTAAAAATAATGGTTGATGCATCAGGCCCTGGAACACTAAGACAATGTAATACAATTACGCTTTCCGATCTCGGAGACACAGAAGGATTCGATAAACCCGGTACTGATGGTAAGTTATACGCTTTACACTTACACGATAATGTTTACAAGCGGAAAGAAGTCACATTCACGGGTAATCTAGGAGATTTAAGCGATGTCGATGTTAGTAGACTCCTTAAAAACACTTCGTACAATATTACTCGCAACGACGATAATAAATGGACTATGGTCGAAGCAAACATCGAGTGGCTACTGAATATCGTCATTACCCCACCTTATGTGATGATGGGTAAAGGACATAATTTAACTAAGATAATAAATAGTGGCATCATACTTGCGGCTTATATCCCATCAAAACGAAAAAGTGTGTTAGTTACCCCCCTGCCAGAAAACCCAGGTCATATGTTATATAGTCGTCCGGCCTTAAAAAATGTTACTTTAAATTTGGTTACTGAATTCAATGAAATTAAAGTTAACTTGAGTGCAATACCTAATCTTTCTACGCTTATTATTGAAGTCTTGTTCGGAGATGCACCGGTAGATGCCTTCGAAATATTACCAGGTCTATCGATTAAATGGCTCAAGAAACACGAGCGTCAACGTTGCAGTATTATTCATATCGGAGCATCGCCCGTTGCAACCCTCGAGGGGGTCCAAATTATTAAAAGTGACAGCATTTCTCTTTCTAAGATATTATTGCCGTATAATATACATTTGATAAGATTGATGTATAGTCTCAAAACAATTAAGCAAGACCAATTAAAGACTATTATATGAACGTAATATACACTATGAGTTTATATCCGGCGCTCGATGAAGCATTTGAAAAGATGGAAACTGTTGATGGATTTCGATTACATCAAATAAGCGACATAAAACATCGAATAGGGAAGGATAGGGAGTTGAGACTTGGATTGTATAAAAAGTATCGCAGAGCCGTGAATGCTCTGGACGGAGTTGACACCGCTCTTGTAGTATCTGGCATGGGACTCGGTGTAGCGGGTATCGGTTTACTATCAACTATAATCGCCGCGCCTATCGTGCTCGGCATGGAAATAACCGCTGGAGTCTCGGGACTGGCAGGAATAGCGATAAAATTCATTTCTCGTAGGTTGCAAAAGAAAGCATTAAAACACGATAGTATTCGGATACTTGCCGAAGCAAAGTTGAACAGCATTGAGGATCATATTTCGACAGCAATGGCCGATTGTAAGATATCCGAGGATGAGTTCCGTTTAGTGCTGTCAGGAACTCACCAAATACAACGAAATGAAGCAGGAGATTCGATCAAAATCTCGTAAGACCAGCGGTATTAGCGAAGACGAGAAAAAAAAGTTCATAGAACAGGGGAGGCAACAAGCACGTCAATTATTCCGTGCCAAAACCAAAGAACTGGTTGGAGATTAAAAATAGATTGCTTACTATCGTTTGATCACATTTAGACAAATGCTTACATAAATATATAATAATGGAAAAAGCTATTCAATGGAGAGAATTACCACAAGGTTTTTATTATATCAGTGATGTCAAACCAACCAAATACGGTTATCAATTGTTTCTTATCAATTTACAAAAAGAGTGTAGTTATATAGTCTGGTCTCCTAGTAAAATGAACGAAGAACTTAATAAAAATGTTGAATATCGCTTTATCGATAAAAATAATAAAGAATATTTTTATTACCATTTAGACTCATCTAAAGCAATGATTGGCCCCAGGTTTTGGTGAGCTAGAGCCAATCTCATGACTTTCATTAAATCGCATCATCATTTTGGTATAAAAAATGCCACCTGTAGTAGCAGTATAGGTAATAAATCTGTCTCCAGTGGAAGTGAGTCAGAACCCCTATTACCTATAAAAATTTATATCATTGACTCCAGGTGGTGGTGAGCTAGAGCCGATTTAACTTAATCTCATGACTATCATTGAATTGCATAGTCATTTTGGCATAAAAAATTCCTCCTGTAGTAGCAGTATAGGTATATGAATCCTGCTCCAGTGGAAGTGAGCCAGAACCCCCATTACCTATACTACTCTGTGTGTGGTAATCAACTTATATTACACATCACTGTGTGTGGTAATAGACTTATATTACACATCACTGTGTGTGGTAATAGACTTATATTACACATCACTGGGTGTGGTAATAGACTTATATTACACATCACTGGGTGTGGTAATCAACTTATATTACACATCACTGTGTGTGGTAATAGACTTATATTACACATCACTGTGTGTGGTAATAGACTTATATTTCACATCACTGTGTGTGGTAATCAACTTATATTACACATCACTGTGTGTGGTAATAGACATACAATGTCTATGTATCTTGGTGTTGAAAGGACCGCCGTGGCATCATCAAGGACCAGACGTACATCGATGAAAAGAGGATAATGATGAAGGTGAAGTTCCCGCTGAACGAGATCCTTGTCGACTTCTTTGATCATCTCAAGTCTCTGACATCAGGCTTCGCCAGGTAGTAGCCTTCCTCAGTCTCCACAACAACCACTGTGCTCTATTCCTGCCACTTCGCATCCTTTAAATGCCTGGGGCGGTCGGGTAGCCTAGTGGTTAAAGCGTTCACTCGTCACGCCGAAGACCCGGGTTCGAATCCCGACATGGGTACAATATGTGAAGCCCATTTCTGGTGTCCCCAGACGTGATATTGCTGGAATATTGCTAAAAGCGGGTGTAAAACCAAACTCACTCACTCACTCACTCTTTAAATGCCTAGCTCGCGCCCAGTACAGGGGTCTGCTTGTTGTGTTTGCTGGCACTACAACTGATGTTAGAGATGTTTGACACTCTGTGCTTCTGTAATTGTGTAATTGTTTTTAGTAATTAAGGATTGGACTTTGGGGTCTTGATTTCATCAGGTCCTGGGTCACCTCCAGCAAAGTACCTCAAACATCAGGACATTCTGGTTTAATTAAGACATAAACGACGAGTGGGAGTTGTTAATTGTAGCAGGGAGAATCATCAATAAAACATGTGAACTGTAGGCAACTACATGAAAACCTGCATTAAATACTCTTCAAAAAAAAAGAAACTATACATGCATAAATTTGATGACACTGGACCGGATCGTTTTTGTATGGTGGAAAAGTAATCATTAAAATTCATTAAATTTTCAAGTAAACATGCAGATTGCCCGAAACGTAATGTTGTGACGTCGCGACTGAGCAATTCGCCCAAATGCAGCTGCAATGCCATAAACATGCAGCATGCAATTGCAATTGCATGTGGTGCAGGTGATGGGTGTGGCCAGATTGACCATCTCTAACTTGTGGAGACGTTACAATACCACTGGCAACGTTCCTGACAGGCCAAGGTCTGGACAACCTCGCATTACAACGCCTGGCCAAGATCACTACATCCAGGTACGACACCTGCGGGACCGTTTCATCACAGTGACGTCAACAGCCTCACAAGTACCAGGACTGATCGAATATCGGATCAGACTGTTCGAAATCGTCTGAGAGCAGCTGGTATTCTAGCCAGTAGACCCGTGTTGTGTAACGTCCTGACGCCGCATCACCTCCATGAATGTCTGCAGTGGTGTTGTCAGAGAGTCACATGGCCTCTGTTCACAGACGAGTCCCGTTTTCTGATGTACTGATGGACTTGCCCGTGTGTACCAATGTCGTAACAAATGTTACGCTGAAAATTGCGTTCAGCAAGTTGATCGTTTTGGAGGGGAAGCGTCATGTGGTGGGGAGGCATTCATCACGGAGGCTGGACAGCACTTGTGAGGAGGGATGGTGCTCTGAATAGTCTGCGCTACAGAGACGAGATACTGCAGGACCACAGTGTCCGCTTCATCAACGTCAACGGCGGCATCTTTCAGCAGGTTAATGCCAGACCCCACGTCGCACATGTTTGCACAAGGTTTCTGCGTAAGAACAATGTGCCTACGCTACCCTGGCCTGCCTGCTCGCCAGACTTGTGCCCTACTTATAATCTGTGGGACGTGCTGGATTGCCGCATCCGTCAACGTCAACCACTGCCACAGAAACTTCAGGAACTGTTTGTGGCGCTAGAGCAGGAGTGTCAGGACATACCCGCGTCTATGGTCGGTCGCTGCCATGAGGCGACAGCAGCTCGAGGAGTCCACAATCTTTACTGACTTTCCACCTACCCCAGACGTCTTTGCGCCTGTTTTTGTAAAGTGCATATTATACAGCAATAATATTTATGAAATCTAAACTCGAAAAAAGAACCCAGTTGCAATCGTGATGTATAGTTTCTTTTATGAAGAGTATATTTGCTGGTGTTAAAAGTCCAGTCATGGGTGGTCCAGTCCTTGAAGATGCCACATTGTACCCATGTGGGGAATCGAACCCGGATCTTCGGTGTGACGAGCGAACGCTTTAACCAAGGATCACCGCCCCAACTGCTTGTAATCAGCTTGTTCTGTTGTTTTAATTTGTATCCAATCAGTGTGTACAACTTAATCCTTACTGTATATCTGCCTTCGTTACCTGTGTGCTACCAGCTTGTAAGATGACGTCAGTGTTCTGTCACTGTTGGCCACCAGTGCCGGCACTAGCAACTAGAATTAACACTGCAATAACCGTAATGTGTGACTCGTGTGTTTTATCTCACAGGTGTGATCCATGACCGTAATGTGTGACTGGTGTGTTTTATCTTACAGGTGTGATCCATGACCGTAATGTGTGACTCGTGTGTTTTATCTTACAGGTGTGATCCATGACCGTAATGTGTGACTGGTGTGTTATATCTTACAGGTGTGGTCCATGACCGTAATGTGTGACTGGTGTGTTATATCTTACAGGTGTGGTCCATGACCGTAATGTGTGACTGGTGTGTTATATCTTACAGGTGTGATCCATGACCGTAATGTGTGACTCGTGTGTTATATCTTACAGGTGTGGTCCATAACTGTAATAAATCCATGAAGATCTGCGTTGGAATAGGTCTTCAGCAACCCATGCTTGCCTTAACAGGTGACTATGCTTGTCGTAAGAGGCAACTAACGGGATCGGGTGGTCATACTTGCTGACTTGGTTGATGCATGTCATCGTATCCCATTTCCATGAATCAATGCTCATGATGTCAATCATTGGAGTGTCTTATCCAGACTACATTATTTACAGACCGCCGTCATATCGCTGGAATATTGCTAAGTGCGGCGTTAAACAACAAACAAACAAACAAACAAACAAACAAACTAACCATAATGTGTGACTGCTGTGTTTCAGTTTCGACTATGAGGATGCTGGGTATGAGAGTTCAAGTCTCACAAAGGTAGGTAACTCTTGCTGTTCCAACACCTATTACCTTCAGCATTTCACAAACATTTTGTTCATCAGTTCACGGTTGCTTGTGTTGTTTGTTGAGCTTCCAGAAATATTGACCTTCAAAGTTTAAGTGACAGATATCACACTAGCACCCACTGGGTTCAGACTGCTTGTGTTCACACTATCACCCACTGGGTTCAGACCTGCTTGTGTCTACACTATCAATTACTGGGTTCAGACTGCTTGTGTTCACACTATCACCCACTGGGTTGAAACTTGCTGTGTTCACACTATCACCCACTGGGTTCAGACCTGCTTGTGTCTACACTATCACCCACTGGGTTCAGACCTGCTTGTGACCACACTATCAATTACTGGGTTCAGACCTGCTTGTGTTCACACTATCACCCACTGGGTTCAGACCTGCTTGTGTTCACACTATCACCCACTGGGTTCAGACCTGCTTGTGTCTACACTATCACCCACTGGGTTCAGACCTGCTTGTGTCTACACTATCACCCACTGGGTTCAGACCTGCTTGTGTTCACACTATCACCCACTGGGTTCAGACCTGCTTGTGTCTACACTATCACCCACTGGGTTCAGACCTGCTTGTGTCCACACTTTCACCCACTGGGTTCAGACCTGCTTGTGTTCACACTCTCACCCACTGGGTTCAGACCTGCTTGTGTCTACACACTCACCCACTGGGTTCAGACCTGCTTGTGTCCACACTATCACCCACTGGGTTCAGACCTGCTTGTGTTCACACACTCACCCACTGGGTTCAGACCTGCTTGTGTCCACACTATCACCAACTGGGTTCAGACCTACTTGTGTCCACACTCTCACCCACTGGGTTCAGACCTGCTTGTGTTCACACTATCACCAACTGGGTTGAGACCTGCTTGTGTCCACACTATCACCCACTGGGTTCAGACCTGCTTGTGTCCACACTATCACCCACTGGGTTCAGACCTGCTTGTGTCCACACTATCACCCACTGGGTTCAGACCTGCTTGTGTCCACACTATCACCCACTGGGTTCAGACCTGCTAGTGTTCACACTATCACCAACTGGGTTGAGACCTGCTTGTGTCCACACTATCACCCACTGGGTTCAGACCTGCTTGTGTTCACACACTATCACCCACTGGGTTCAGACCTGCTTGTGTCCACACTATCACCCACTGGGTTCAGACCTGCTTGTGTTCACACACTATCACCCACTGGGTTCAGACCTGCTTGTGTCCACACTATCACCCGCGGGGTTCAGACCTGCTTGTGTTCACACACTATCACCCACTGGGTTCAGACCTGCTTGTGTCCACACTATCACCAACTGGGTTCAGACCTGCTTGTGTCCACACTTTCACCCACTGGGTTCAGACCTGCTTGTGTCCACACTATCACCCACTGGGTTCAGACCTGCTTGTGTCCACACTATCACCCACTGGGTTCAGACCTGCTTGTGTCCACACTATCACCCACTGGGTTCAGACCTGCTTGTGTCCACACTATCACCCACTGGGTTCAGACCTGCTTGTGTCCACACACTCACCCACTGGGTTCAGACCTGCTTGTGTCCACACTATCACCCACTGGGTTCAGACCTGCTTGTGTCCACACTATCACCCACTGGGTTCAGACCTGCTTGTGTCTACACTATCAATTACTGGGTTCAGACCTGCTTGTGTCCACACACTCACCCACTGGGTTGAGACCTGCTTGTGTCCACACTATCACCAACTGGGTTGAGACCTGCTTGTGTTCACACTATCACCCACTGGGTTGAGACCTGCTTGTGTTCACACACTCACACACTGGGTTCAGACCTGCTTGTGTCCACACACTCACCCACTGGGTTCAGACCTGCTTGTGTCTACACTATCACCCACTGGGTTCAGACCTGCTTGTGTCTACACTATCACCCACTGGGTTCAGACTGTTGTATGATCTCTGTGTTACAGGTGGACTTCTTATTGAACGGTAAGCCCGTGGAGGATCTGGCTATGATCTGTCACTCCACGAAGGCCAGGATGATGTCGAGGGGCGTGTGTGCCCGCCTCAAGGAGTCCATCCCTCGCCAGCTGTTCACCATCACCATCCAAGCAGCAGTCGGCAAACACATACTAGCCAGAGAAGACATCCGAGCCCTCAGGAAGGACGTACTAGCCAAATGTGTAAGTATGTCTGAACTAGCCAGAGAAGACATCCGAGCCCTCAGGAAGGACGTACTAGCCAAATGTGTAAGTATGTCTGAACTAGCCAGAGAAGCCATCCGAGCCCTCGGGAAGGACATACTAGCCAAATGTGTAAGTATGTCTGAACTAGCCAGAGAAGACATCCGAGCCCTCAGGAAGGACATACTAGCCAAATGTGTAAGTATGTCAGAACTAGCCATAGAAGACATCCGAGCCCTCGGGAAGGACATACTAGCCAAATGTGTAAGTATGTCTGAACTAGCCAGAGAAGACATCCGAGCCCTCAGGAAGGATGTACTAGCCAAATGTGTAATTCTCTTTCAGATTAAATCCTCCTTGGGGCACTTATTGCATTTTCCTGGCTCAAGAAAATCTACATGACATAGTTGTAACCATTTTCCTTAATAAAAATTGTTACCACACAAAAAACTTTGTTTTTGTATGATATACGTCCACCCTTATGGTGCCTCACCCTCCACGGCGCGTCACGCCAAGGGAAGCAACTCTCACCCAAATCACTTTCCTTATGTCATCTGACAAAGACAGACGTGCTTTTTTTTTTATAAGACAAAACAAAGTACAAGATAATCGTTCGTACAAGAACCATGGCAGACCAAACTGTATGTATGGTACATTTCTTTCATGCAAAGGCGTAATACCTCGCATTGTAAAGTTATAAAGTTGTAATTACGGGCCGGGTGCAGCCCGGGGATGCGAAGGCCCAGGCCTTCGGGCGTCCCCTTCCGACTTTGTCTGCCTCTTCTCTCGGGGAATAGTCAATTAATTTCGGCTCGGAATCAAGAGAGGAGGAGTGGATGGAGGAGGGGGGAGACGACTCGGAGACCTCGGGAATATTTTCCTTCGTTTCCTCGTTGAGGCATGTACGGGACAAGATTGTCCAGGTACTGCCTCAGGTGGCTGCGCCCATGCCCCAGTCGGATCCGACTGAGTTCCGCCTTCCGGGGGACGCTTTTGCTCCGAGCAAGGCGCCCCAGGTGCGGCTCCGTATTCTGTCTTCATTGGTGCATGAAGTCATCAACCCTCTGTTGTCGGGTGCCCGCAGGAAGTTCGACCTGCCCGAACTTATTAAGCGGTACCCGTTAGCAGAGGATGGTGATTTTGAGGTACCGATGGTGGACGAATGCGTCTGGACCACCGTTACCCTGGGGGGGTCTTCGACCCCCAACTTGGCTAAGGTCAAGCAGGGCCGGCGGTTGCCACCCTTTCCCGCGTGCGGTACGGAGCTGAAGGCTGCTTACGTTTGCTTCGAGGAGCAATATCGTAACGCATGTCAGCAGCTCCGGGTGTCCGTACACTCCGCTTATCTGTCGGCCGTACAGAGGGAGTTAGCGGGAGAGGGGCCGGCCGACCCTTCGGAGTTGGCCGCGCAACTTACGGAGGTACATAGTCATCTTGCGAGGGAAGCTATTCATAGCTGTGCCTCGCAAATGATGTGCGCAGTCATGGGCATGCGCAGGCTGTGGATGTCGGTATCCAAATACTTGGCTTCCACACGCCAGGATCTACTTGCTTTGCCTTATAAGATGGGTGCCACCCTCTTCCCTGGGGCTCAGCAGGTGGTCCGAGAGGCCGCACAGTTGTATGCCTCCATCAAGGATTCTAAGGCCTTGTTGGAGGTACCATGCGTTAAACCGCGTAAGCGGACCTCTCCACTTGCTTCCTCCTACGCTGATGCGCCGGGTCAGAAGTCTGCACCTGCTTGGAAGCAGCCGCTTCCTTCAGGTAAGGGCGCCGGGAGGAGCAAGAGAGGCAGGGGCCGGGGCAGGGCAGCTGGTCAAGGCCAGCAGCCTTTTCGCGGGGCCGGGAACCCATCGGGTTCCCATTAGCGCCCGAAGTGCCCCGGGCGGACCCACGGTCGCATGTTATCGAACTGCCGACAGCCGGGGTCCACTGCCTCAAGCCGGATGTCCCCGTAGGCGGCCGACTGGCTCTATTCCTGCAGGAATGGGAGACAGTCACATCCAATCCCTGGACCCTGTCCACTCTAAGGGATGGCCATTTGCCTCGGTGGAAACATCATCCGCCCCCCCTTCTCCGGGATAAAGCACACTCCGGTGCCTGCTACCCTAGAGAGGGCGGAATTCCTCCGTGCCGAGGTCGACGCACTTCTTATGAAGGCTGCGATCGAACCGTTCCCGTGGGACAGGAAAGCGAGGGCTTCTACTCGACATATTTCCTAGTCACCAAAAAAGACGGAGGGTTCAGGCCTATTCTCAATCTGAGAAGGTGTTATTAGTTCAGGGTTCTACCATTCGGGATCGCTACGGCCCCGAGGGTGTTCACCAAGCTGATGTTGATTCCCGCCCAAGTGGCCAGGTCAAAAGGTCGGTTCTGCCATCCGTACCTCGACGACTGGTTACTAAGAGCTCTATCGCAATCCCTGAGTCAGATAGCTACACAACAAGTGATAGATATTCTGATCACTCTAGGGTGGATAGTCAATCTCAAGAAGTCAGATCTGAGCCCTACTCAGAATCTAGTCTTCCTAGGGGCGAATTTCAACACGGTGAGCGGACTTGTATCTCTGTCACAAGATCGCATTACCAAGGTCAGAAGTGTTACTTCCCAGTTCCTTCTGTCCGCCAGTCACACTGCTCGTACATGGCTCCAGTTACTGGGCAACATGGCGGCGACAGTGGATGTGGTTTGGCGGGCGCGCTTGAGAATGAGACCCATTCAACAAGCGCTCCGTCGACGTTGGGTGAACTCGGAAGATCTCGAGACTGTCCTCGAGACTCTGCAGTGGCTCAATGCACACCTTCAGTGGTGGACCGAGGTCGGGAATCTGTCCCGGGGGCTCCCCCTCGACACTCCCGTGCCGTCTCTCACAGTTCAAACAGACGCGTCACTCTCCGGCTGGGGAGGCTTTCTGAACGATCACACTGCCTCGGGACTATGGTCCCAGCAGGAGATCAAACTGCATATCAATGTGCTAGAACTGAGAGCGGTCAGGTTGGTGGCTTCCTGGATCTGCTTCGTGGCCAAGTGGTGCGTCTAGAGATGGACAACCAAACGGCGATGACTTACATCCGGAAGCAGGGGGGAACGGTGTCTCCGTCGCTTCTCCAAGAGACGTGGCAGTTCCTCCTATGGTGCGACTCACACTTTATCAGGGTGCTACCTGTTTATCTCCCGGGGGTAGACAACGTCCGTGCGGACGCTCTGTCTCGCCGGATCCTCGCTCCTCACGAGTGGAGGCTCGACCCGGGGATATTCGGGATTATCTCCCAGTTATACGGGTCGTTCCAGGTGGATCTGTTTGCGTCTGGGGTGAATCACCAGACCCCAACGTTCTGCTCCCGAGTCCCCGACCCGAGGTCGGTGGCACCGGACGCCTTCCAGCTAGATTGGACGGACAGAATTCTGTGGGCATTCCCCCCAGTACCTCTGATTTCCAAGGTCCTGTCTCAGCTAGCCACTCAGCCTGCGCGACTACTTGTGCTCCTGGCACCCCTTTGGTCGGCGCAGAGTTGGTTTCCAGTCATACTCAGGTTTCTGGCTCAGCCTCCTGTTCTATTACCTTTACGACCGGACCTCCTATCCCAGAACGAGGCCCTCCACCCGAATCCCAGGATTCAGTGGGTGGCTTGGCCACTGTCCGGAATCGCCTCCAGGAGAGCGGTATTCCTGCACGAGTTGCAGACACAATACTGGCTTTGCGGAGGGATTCGACAAACGTTCAGTACGAGGATAGATGGGCCTGCTATGCGAGCTGGTGTGTCGATAGAAGGATTGCAGATCCCTTTTCTGCAGATCTCGTAGCCGTACTTGAGTTCCTCCAGTCGCGACTAGATGTCGGCCTGGCCGCATCGTCAGTCCGGGGGTACTCTACAGCTATCGCTGCCTTTCACGTCCCCGTCGACGGGGCACTTTTGGGTGCGCACCCATTAGTGCATCGTTTTTTAGCAGGTGTGGACAGGATCCGACCGCCTGTCCGGCGGATCAGTCCCCCTTGGGAATTGTCAATCGTTCTTGATTGGCTGTCCGGTCTTTCCTTTCGGGATCTGTCGTCTCTCTCTCTTCAGCTGTTGAGCTGGAAGACGGCGTTCCTTGTGGCGGTAACGTCCGGCAGACGGGTAGGCGACATTCACGCAATGTCAGCCGATCCCGAACTAACTGTCTTTCACCGGGACAGGGTCAGTATTCGCCTGCCGAACTCTTACCGTCCTAAGGTCGCACACGCCTTCCACGTGACGGCTCCTATTGAGCTACCTGCTCTTTCACAGCCTTCCTCGTCGGGGACCACTACAAGACATGCTCATGTCTTGGATGTCCGCAGGACCCTCAAGTCCTATATCAGCAGAACTAAGGGTATCCGTAAGGATAATCAACTATTTTGCTGTTATGGCGGTAGGAAGGCTGGCTCACCTGCGAGCAAACAAACTATCTCGAGGTGGATAGTCTCTACTATATGTACGGTGTACACACTTCAAGGCAGGGACCCCCCTACCAAGTTGAAGGCTCATTCGGTTAGAGCAGTGGCTACGACACAAGCGTATGCTGCGGCTCTGCCCATTGAGGAGATCTGCTCCGCGGCTATTTGGAGCCAGCCGAGCACATTCATCAAACATTACCAACTCGACAAACACTCAAGCGAGCGTGCTCGGTTTGGTCAGACAGTTCTCCGAACTGGGCAAAGTTCTACATCTCTAGCCGATTGAGCCTTCGAGATTTTAGACCGCCCGGACCGGTTATAACACTGCTCAGTAATGGTCCGGATTTTATCTTCTACGGTCGATACAATACCAGCCATTACTCCTCGATAATCATCGTATTTGCACATGCACTCCTTCGATTTACGGGGACCCTCTGGCCTAGCTCTGTGCGGGTTTATAGTCTCTCGTGATCTGTGCCCCCAATATCACTTGTTCAAAAAAGTGGGGTGGGGTGGGGGGTGTGTGTGTCTCGAGTTCTCGATATGATAAGCCACAAAAAATGGCTCTTTTCATTGTGTATGGTCGATAACGCCCTGTCTCCAGCCCCCGCCTTTCGACGGTGGTGCCTCACGATAAGGTTGGTTCCATTTATTGAACTTTTGTTTATTCATTGAAATAATCAAAATACGATGTATTTATGCACGCTTGTTGCTGACGGATGCCACTTCCTAGATTATCTTTAGGAGTCTATCTTGATGCAATAAGTGCCCCAAGGAGGATTTAATCTGAAAGAGAATTTTACAAACCTGTAGAGGTTATGAATTGTCTGATGAAATCCTCCTTGGGGCACGGCCACCCGCCTCCTAACATTCCGTCAGCATTAGACATATGGAAAGTGATTTTGGTGAGAGTTGCTTCCCTTGGCGTGACGCGCTGTGGAGGGTGAGGCACCATAAGGGTGGACGTATATCATACAAAAACAAAGTTTTTTGTGTGGTAACAATTTTTATTAAGGAAAATGGTTACAACTATGTCATGTAGATTTTCTTGAGCCAGGAAAATGCAATAAGTGCCCCAAGGAGGATTTCATCAGAGAACTCACAACCTCTACAGGTTTGTAAAAGTATGTCTGAACTAGCCAGAGAAGACATCCAAGCCCTCAGGAAGGACGTACTAGCCAAATGTGTAAGTATGTCTGAACTAGCCAGAGAAGACATCCGAGCCCTCAGGAAGGACGAACTAGCCAAATGTGTAAGTATGTCTGAACAAGCCAGAGAAGACATCCGAGCCCTCAGGAAGGACGTACTAGCCAAATGTGTAAGTATGTCTGAACTAGCTAGAGAAGACATCCGAGCCCTCAGGAAGGACGTACTAGCCAAATGTGTAAGTATGTCTGAACTAGCCAGGGAAGACATCGGAGTACTCGGGAAGGACATACTAGCCAAATGTGTAAGTATGTCTGAACTAGCCAGAGAAGCCATCCAAGCCCTCAGGAAGGATGTACTAGCCAAATGTTTTAGCATGTCTGAACTAGCCAGGGAAGACATCTGAGCCCTCGGGAAGGACATACTAGCCAAATGTGTAAGTATGTCAGAACTAGCCAGAGAAGACATCCGAGCCCTCGGGAAGGACATACTAGCCAAATGTGTAAGTATGTCTGAACTAGCCAGAGAAGACATCCGAGCCCTCGGGAAGGACATACTAGCCAAATGTGTAAGTATGTCTGAACTAGCCAGAGAAGACATCTGAGTCCTCAGGAAGGACATACTAGCCAAATGTGTAAGTATGTCTGAACTAGCCAGGGAAGACATCCGAGTTCTCGGGAAGGACATACTAGCCAAATGTGTAAGTATGTCTGAACTAGCCAGAGAAGCCATCCGAGCCCTCAGGAAGGATGTACTAGCCAAATGTTTTAGCATGTCTGAACTAGCCAGGGAAGACATCTGAGTCCTCAGGAAGGACGTACTAGCCAAATGTGTAAGTATGTCTGAACTAGCCAGAGAAGACATCCGAGCCCTCAGGAAGGACGTACTAGCCAAATGTGTAAGTATGTCTCATCTAGCCAGAGAAGACATCCGAGTCCTCAGGAAGGACATACTAGCCAAATGTGTAAGTATGTCTGAACTAGCCAGGGAAGACATCCGAGTTCTCGGGAAGGACATACTAGCCAAATGTGTAAGTATGTCTGAACTAGCCAGAGAAGCCATCCGAGCCCTCAGGAAGGATGTACTAGCCAAATGTTTTAGCATGTCTGAACTAGCCAGGGAAGACATCTGAGTCCTCAGGAAGGACGTACTAGCCAAATGTGTAAGTATGTCTGAACTAGCCAGAGAAGACATCCGAGCCCTCAGGAAGGACGTACTAGCCAAATGTGTAAGTATGTCTCATCTAGCCAGAGAAGACATCCGAGCCCTCGGGAAGGACATACTAGCCAAATGTGTAAGTATGTCTGAACTAGCCAGAGAAGACATCCGAGCCCTCGGGAAGGACATACTAGCCAAATGTGTAAGTATGTCTGAACTAGCCAGAGAAGACATCCGAGCCCTCGGGAAGGACATACTAGCCAAATGTGTAAGTATGTCTGAACTAGCCAGAGAAGACATCTGAGTCCTCGGGAAGGACATAATAGCCAAATGTGTAAGTATGTCTGAACTAGCCAGGGAAGACATCTGAGTCCTCAGGAAGGACATACTAGCCAAATGTGTAAGTATGTCTGAACTAGCCAGAGAAGACATCCGAGCCCTCAGGAAGGACGTACTAGCCAAATGTGTCAGTATGTCTGAACTAGCCAGGGAAGACATCCGAGTTCTCGGGAAGGACATACTAGCCAAATGTGTAAGTATGTCTGAACTAGCCAGAGAAGACATCAGAGCTCTCGGGAAGGACGTACTAGCCAAATGTGTAAGTATGTCTGAACTAGCCAGAGAAGTGAGTAGAATTGTCCCAGCATCTTTTGGGGCAGGGCAGGGCAGGGCAGGGCAGGGCAGGGCAGGGCAGGGCAGGGCAGGGCAGGGCAGGGCAGGGCAGGGCAGGGCAGGGCAGGGCAGGGCAGGGCAGGGCAGGGCAGGGCAGGGCAGGGCAGGGCAGGGCAGGGCAGGGCAGGGCAGGGCAGGGCAGGGCATTCAACCTGGCTGGTCTGGTGGTTACAATGTGTGACTTGGATGGTTGTGTCACCCTTGCTGGATCCATGCAGACCCTTTGGTACATGCATAAACCAATGTTTACTCACTGACTGAATATCTCTGTAATGAAGCTTGCGTATTTGCATAATTTATGCATTTTTCACATATTTGGCACTAAAAATAAACATTCCTGGGCTACTTGATAAGTAAAACACAATTGATGGCACCTAGATGACCTGGTGGTGAATCACGAGGTCCTTTTTCACCAAACATGCATTTGACATTAGCAAAAACAACTCATGTCTATGAATAGCACATTTCATGGAATTTGGCAGTGATTTGCTGTCTTGCCATTCAGAAATAATCATAAAAGCGGGAATTTAATGAGTTGTTTCAAACAATTTCATTCGTTAAGCCTGGCAGTGATTTGCACAGGTCTTTCATTGAAGTCTGATAAGCAATGCTGGCAAACATTGTGACCTTTCTGATCGTTATTGTGGCCTTAATAATTTAAGTGGCAGTGTCAGATTTCGGGGAAAAGGTGAAAACGCCCCAGAAAAGAAACCTCAGAGAATCACTGACTTCTTTGAAAACATTCAGATGAATCTTCATCGGTTCAATGTAATGAGTGAGATTGGAAAGCATGTAAACGCTAGTGATAGTCATAGTAATTTTTATATCAAATCAACCAAGGCCAAAGTGAAATGTAAATTTGTGCCAAAATGCCAAAGGGAATGGCTTGGGTAGTATGAATGGCTTGTGTACAGTCATGCCCCGCTTATACGGACTTCAATTATCCGGAAACCTCGGTTCCCCGACGATTTTTATTCAAAACGAAATAATTACTATATAAATTTACCCGTATATATGGAAATTCAGTTTCCGTAACTGGATGGTCATTTTCATACACAAAACACTGAAATACACACAAAATTGTCTCACTTACCCGGACAATACACTTCCGCTGATGGTAATCCTTTGATTCGTGAGACTAAGTTACGTTTGAGACGAGCTTGTTTATTGTACATGTAATCCCATTCGATAAATATGGCGTCTGTGGAGGTCAGAGGTCAAAGTTGTGACTTCAAACTGTGAGTGGATATATCTGTTTGCTCTGTCATCTGTCATGAGTTGCATAATTGAAGGGAAGTAACTATTCCAGTAAGAAGCTGGTTTCAGTTATACGGAAATTCGTTTATACGGACGAATTGTGAAATGACGCAAGTGTCCGAATAAAAGCGGCACGACTGTACATACTTGCAATGTGCCCCATGGCGCTAGGTTCTTGTTCATTCTGGATTCAGTACGTAGACAGAACTGGGCAAGTAATGTTAGACGTATTCTATTTAGTTCAGGTCTTGGCTGTGCTTGGGTTTAGTTTTCTTAACCTTTCACAAGCCTGACTGAAAGATATGTACTAATATATTATCATCAAGTACTAGATATGAACCCGTGAAGATCTGGGAAAAGAATAGGTCTTCAGCAACCCATGCCTGCTGTAATAGGTGACAATCCTTGTCGTCGGAGGCGATTAACGGGTTGGGTTGTCAGGCTCGTTGACTTGGTTGATGCATGTCATGGTATCCCAATTGCGTAGATCATAACGTCAGTCACTGGATTGTCTGATCCAGACTCGATTATTTACAGACCACAGCTGGAATATTGCTGAGTGTGGCATTAACCAACCAAGGACTTGTTATTAATTTGTACTCTATTTAAGATAACCTTGAAAGCAGCGAAAATATTTCATAGATTCGGTCCTTTGTACATTTGCGACCGATTTTGCTTTTGTTCGAGTTCGATGTACAAAGCTTAATATTGACATGGGGAGACACCACAAGATTCCAAAATTTTGAAAGATTATGTACATATTATGACCTAAATAATATGGAAGATCTGTATCGTTTCATCTTTCTATGTCCATCCTTCAGAGATATTCGAAAGCAATACATACCAAATAAATATGTAATTGGATCTTCAAACCAACAATTTGTCAGCATTATGGCAACAACAAATTGTCAAAATTTAAAACTGTTACATTTCAACTATGCCTTCAAGAGTAGAAATGTACTGAAATGAAACATGTGAATATATTTGTAAAATGTCCCTGCACTGTAGTGGATGCATTTGATGGATTTGAATCTATGGCCGTTCGTACAATAAACATTGGACCACTCAGTGCAAGTCCCTGATGCAACAGCTAATGGTTATAATGTGTTTGGATGTTTCAGTATGGTGGTGACATTTCAAGGAAAATGAAGTTGCTGAAGAAACAAGCAGAAGGTAAAAAACGTATGCGGCAGATCGGAAACGTGGAGGTGCCAAAGGATGCCTTCATTAATGCCTTGAAGAGATGACTCTAGGCACCTAGGACACTTGGGTCAGGGGCTACTGGGCACCATGGCTACTTGGGACAGGGACTACTGGGCACCTTGGACACTTGGGAAAGGGACTACTGGGCACCATGGCTACTCGGGACAGGGGCTACTGGGCACCTTGGACACTTGGGTCAGGGGCTACTGGGCACCTTGGACACTTGGGACAGGGACTACTGGGCACCTTGGCTACTTGGGACAGGGGCAACTGGGCACCTTGGACACTTGGGTCAGGGGCTACTGGGCACCTTGGACACTTGGGACAGGGACTACTGGGCACCTTGGCTACTTGGGACAGGGGCTACTGGGCACCTTGGACACTTGGGACAGGGACTACTGGGCACCATGGCTACTTGGGACACCTGGGACACCTAGACAACACACCTGTACAACACCCTAGTACAACATGCCTGGACAGCATGCCTCTACAACACACCTGTAAATCACACCTAGACAACACACCTGTAAATCACACCTAGACAACACACCTGTAAATCACACCTAGACAACACACCTGTACAACACCCTAGTACAACATGCCTGGACAGCATGCCTCTACAACACACCTGTAAATCACACCTAGACAACACACCTGTAAATCACACCTAGACAACACACCTGTACAACACCCTAGTACAACATGCCTGGACAGCATGCCTCTACAACACACCTGTAAATCACACCTAGACAACACACCTGTAAATCACACCTAGACTACACACCTGTAAATCACACCTAGACAACACACCTGTAAATCACGCCTAGACAACACACCTGTAAATCACACCTAGACAACACACCTGTAAATCACACCTAGACAACACACCTGTACAACACCCTAGTACAACATGCCTGGACCGCATGCCTCTACAACACACCTGTAAATCACACCCAGACAACGCACCTGTAAATCACACCTAGACAACACACCTGTACAACACCCTATTACAACATGCCTGGACAGCATGCCTCTACAACACACCTGTAAATCACACCTAGACAACACACCTGTAAATCACACCTAGGCAACACACCTGCACAATACCCTAGTACAACACACCTGTAAATCACACCTAGACCACACACCTGTACAACACCCTAGTACAACATGCCTGGACAGCATGCCTCTACAACACACCTGTAAATCACACCTAGACAACACACCTGTAAATCACACCTAGACAACACACCTGTACAACACCCTAGTACAACATGCCTGGACAGCATGCCTCTACAACACACCTGTAAATCACACCTAGACAACACACCTGTAAATCACACCTAGACAACACACCTGTAAATCACACCTAGACAACACACCTGTAAATCACACCTAGACAACACACCTGTACAACACACTAGTACAACACACCTGTTAATCACGCCTAGACAACACACCTGTACAACAGCCTAGTACAACACACCTGTAAATCACACCTAGACAACACACCTGTACAACACCCTAGTACAACATGCCTGGACAGCATGCCGCTACAACACACCTGTAAATCACACCTAGACAACACACCTGTAAATCACACCTAGACAACAAACCTGTACAACACCCTAGTACAACATGCCTGGACAGCATGCCTCTACAACACACCTGTAAATCACACCTAGACAACACACCTGTAAATCACACCTAGACAACACACCTGTAAATCACACCTAGACAACACACCTGTACAACATCCTAGTACAACATGCCTGGACAGCATGCCTCTACAACACACCTGTAAATCACACCTAGACAACACACCTGTAAATCACACCTAAACAACACACCTGTAAATCACACCTAGACAACACACCTGTAAATCACACCTAGACAACACACCGTGACAACACACTAGTACAACACACCTGTAAATCACGCCTAGACAACACACCTGTACAACAGCCTAGTACAACACGCCTGTAAATCACACCTAGACAACACACCTGTACAACACCCTAGTACAACATGCCTGGACAGCATGCCTCTACAACACACCTGTAAATCACACCTAGACAACACACCTGTAAATCACACCTAGACAACACACCTGTACAACACCCTAGTACAACACGCCTGGACAGCATGTCTCTACAACACACCTGTAAATCACACCTAGACAACACACCTGTACAACACCCTAGTACAACATGCCTGGACAGCATGCCTCTACAACACACCTGTAAATCACACCTAGACTACACACCTGTAAATCACACCTAGACAACACACCTGTACAACACCCTAATACAACACACCTGAACAACACGCCTAGAGAACACACCTGTACAAGACCCTAGTACAACACACCTGTACAACACGCCTTGACAACACACCTGTAAATCACACCTAGACAACACACCTGTAAATCACACCTAGACAAAACACCTGTACAACACCCTAGTACAACATGCCTGGACAGCATGCCTCTACAACACACCTGTAAATCACACCTAGACAACACACCTGTAAATCACACCTAGACAACACACCTGTAAATCACACCTAGACAACACACCTGTACAACACACTAGTACAACACACCTGTAAATCACGCCTAGACAACACACCTGTACAACAGCCTAGTACAACACACCTGTAAATCACACCTAGACAACACACCTGTACAACACCCTAGTACAACATGCCTGGACAGGATGCCTCTACAACACACCTGTAAATCACACCTAGACAACACACCTGTAAATCACATCTAGACAACACACCTGTACAACACCCTAGTATAACATGCCTGGACAGCATGCCTCTACAACACACCTGTAAATCACACCTAGACAACACACCTGTAAATCACACCTAGACAACACGCCTGGACAGCATGCCTCTACAACACACCTGTAAATCACACCTAGACAACACACCTGTAAATCACACCTAGACAACACACCTGTACAACACCCTAGTACAACACGCCTGGACAGCATGTCTCTACAACACACCTGTAAATCACACCTAGACAACACACCTGTAAATCACACCTAGACAACACACCTGTACAACACCCTAGTACAACATGCCTGGACAGCATGCCTCTACAACACACCTGTAAATCACACCTAGACTACACACCTGTAAATCACACCTAGACAACACACCTGTACAACACCCTAATACAACACACCTGAACAACACGCCTAGACAACACACCTGTACAAGACCCTAGTACAACACACCTGTAAATCACACCTAGACAATGCACCTGTAAATCACACCTAGACAACACACCTGTACAACACCCTAGTACAACATGCCTGGACAGCATGCCTCTACAACACACCTGTAAATCACACCTAGACAACACACCTGTAAATCACATCTAGACAACACACCTGTACAACACCCTAGTATAACATGCCTGGACAGCATGCCTTTACAACACACCTGTAAATCACACCTAGACAACACACCTGTAAATCACACCTAGACAACACGCCTGGACAGCATGCCTCTACAACACACCTGTAAATCACACCTAGACAACACACCTGTAAATCACACCTAGACAACACACCTGTACAACACCCTAGTGCAACACGCCTGGACAGCATGTCTCTACAACACACCTGTAAATCACACCTAGACAACACACCTGTAAATCACACCTAGACAACACACCTGTACAACACCCTAGTACAACATGCCTGGACAGCATGCCTCTACAACACACCTGTAAATCACACCTAGACTACACACCTGTTAATCACACCTAGACAACACACCTGTACAACACCCTAATACAACACACCTGAACAACACGCCTAGACAACACACCTGTACAAGACCCTAGTACAACACACCTGTGCAACATGCCTTGACAACACACCTGTAAATCACACCTAGACAATGCACCTGTAAATCACACCTAGACAACACACCTGTACAACACGCCTTGACAGCATGCCTCTACAACACACCTGTAAATCACACCTAGACAACACACCTGCACAACACCCTAGTACAACATGCCTGGACAGCATGCCTCTACAACACACTTGTAAATCACACCTAGAAAACACACCTGTAAATCACACCTAGACAACACACCTGTACAACACCCTAGTACAACATGCCTGTAAATCACACCTAGACAACACACCTGTAAATCACACCTAGACAACACACCTGTACAACACCCTAGTACAACATGCCTGGACAGCATGCCTCTACAACACACCTGTAAATCACACCTAGACAACACACCTGTAAATCACACCTAGACAACACACCTGTACAACACCCTAGTACAACACACCTGTAAATCACACCTAGACAACACACCTGTAAATCACACCTAGACAACACACCTGTACAACACCCTAGTACAACATGCCTGGACAGCATGCCTCTACAACACACCTGTAAATCACACCTAGACAACACACCTGTAAATCACACCTAGACAACACACCTGTACAACACCCTAGTACAACACACCTGTAAATCACACCTAGACAACACACCTGTACAACACCCTAGTACAACATACCTGTAAATCACACCTAGACAACACACCTGTAAATCACACCTAGACAACACACCTGTACAACACCCTAGTACAACATGCCTGGACAGCATGCCTCTACAACACACCTGTAAATCACACCTAGACAACACACCTGTAAATCACACCTAGACAACACACCTGTACAACACCCTAGTACAACACGCCTGTAAATCACATCTAGACAACACACCTGTAAATCACACCTAGACAACACACCTGTACAACACCCTAGTAGAACATGCCTGGACAGCATGCCTCTACAACACACCTATACAACACAAGATTTGCTGCAATGTTGGCATTCCTGGGTCTTCATAATAATCTACAGAACAAGCTGCTTGATGTGAAATATGTACAGTAAATGTTGTTGTCTTTATTTGGGTCTGTTGTTCTTCTGCACATTCTCTAGTTAGAGGGCTGAGCTACACAGAAACATCACTCATCAGTCACGAGGAAGTTTTTATTGAAAAGTAAAAGAAGAAAGATAAAATCACAGGGAATACTTCAGGTGCAGCTATAATATAAAAATGAATGTAAATAAAATAGATATCTGGTGAAGTTTACAAAAACGAGGTAGGTCAGAGGAGTACAGATCTAGACATCTACTTTCTCACAGACATCATCATCACTTGATAAATACAAGACACAAAATAACTAACTGGCATAACAAATAGGTAGATCTCTGAGTGAAGGGTTTGTATGCCATAAATACGAGAGCTGGTCAAAAAGTTATAAGGCTAACAAACAAAATCAACAATTGAGAAAGTGTTTTTAATTGTAATTTTCAACATAATCTCCCAGCTTTTCAAAACACTTCTCACATCGATAGTGAAGCTTTTCATTCAGTCAGGAACTTTTCTGAAGCCACCCTGATAAACCCTTTCACGGCAGCTTTGAGGTCATCGTCGTCGTCATATCGTTTTCCATGGTGTTCTTTCACTTCAGGAAACGTGGAAAGTCATGTCTGGCGACACATTGTCGCACAGCAGCCTTTGCAAGTCGAGGTGTTTGAGAAGAAGAGGCATTGTCAGGAAGTAGTAGAACACCAGCAATCAGCCTTCCTCACTCCTTTTCTTTGAAAGTGGAAAGTGCCATTCCATGGATTGATGTTTATCACTGTTCGAACCGAGAAACATGCGTTGAGGTTAAACGTATGACACGAAATAATTAAATGATAAAATTCCACACTATTGAAAACTGCCGACTTCGAAGTTTGTTAAAGTGCTGTATTCATGTTGTATTTTGAAGTCGCTTGATGTCTTTGACAAAACAGTGTCTTTAAAAGCGACATGCCGCGCAAACATGTCCCACGTCAACCGACTTGGTCAACTCGCGTAACCTTGTCCATGTGTTGGTGAAGGGACACTGTGTTGCAGTTTCATTTCACTTGTGTTATTGGAACATAATTACGAATTGTATTTTTACAAAAAACGTTTAGAATGCAGTAAAAAAATGTTTTGTTTAACGAACCCAATGTACATGTATAGCATCTCTGTATTTCTCTTTCAACAGTTTTTCCCCTAAGCTTGCTGATTCCACTAAGTCGGACACAGACTGCATGTTCTTGAATTTGAAATTTGCAAATAAGATAATTGATGACTTATATTTAAGTAACTTTCTCAGCCAAAAATCATTTTCCCAAAATGTCCCACAATATTCAAATTTCAGGAACCACCAAGAGTTTCACACAAACACCTGTATGGAACGTGTTGCAGAATGAGGACTTGGCAACTCATGATGTAAATTCCACAGCTTTTGGCTGTCAATACTCGCCATGTTGCTAGCAGTCTCTTGTCATATCTTCACAGGAGACTTCTCTAATGTTGATGATATCAACCTTCGTCTGTTATTCCAATATGGACTAACATAATATGAGCAGCCTCCATCCCATTTGGTCAGTTGTCCCCTTATTTCAGTGTTAGTTCAGTTGTTCCCTTTGTTCAGTATTTGTCCAGTTTGTCCCTTTGTTCAGTTGTTAATTCAGTTGGTCCCTTTGTTCAGTTGTTACTTCAATTGGTCCCTTTGTTCAGTGTTAATTCAGTTGTCCCTTTGTTCAGTTGTTCCCTTTGTTAAGTTTTGGTCCAGTTATTCCCTTTATTCAGTTGTTCCCTTTGTTCAGTTGGTCCCTTTTTTCAGTGTTTGTTCAGTTGGTCCCTTTTTAAAGTGTTTGTTCAGTTGGTCCCCTCGTTCAGTGTTTGATCAGTGTTGTCCAGTTCCCTTTATTCAGTGTTGTCCAGTTGTTCCCTTTGTTCAGTGTTAGTTCAGTTGGTCGCTTTATTCAGTGCTTATTCACGTGTTCCCTTTGTTCAGTGTTAGTTCATTTGTTTCCTTTGTTCAGTGTTAGTTCATTTCTTTCCTTTGTTCAGGGTTAGTTCATTTGTTTCCTTTGTTCAGTGTTAGTTCAGTTGTTCCCGTTGTTCAGGGTTCGTTCACTTGTTGCCTTTGTTCAGTGTTATTTCATTTGTTTCCTTTGTTCAGTGTTAGTTCATTTGTTTCCTTTGTTCAGTGTTAGTTCATTTTTTCCCTTTGTTCAGTGTTTGTTCAGTTGGTCCCTTTATTCAGTGTTGTCCAGTTGGTCCCTTTATTCAGTGTTGTCCAGTTGTTCCCTTTGTTCAGTGCTAATTCAGTTGTTCCCTTTGTTCAGTGTTAGTTCATTTGTTTCCTTTGTTCAGTGTTAGTTCATTTCTTTCCTTTGTTCAGTGTTTGTTCAGTGTTGTCCAGTTCCCTTTATTCAGTGTTGTCCAGTTGTTCCCTTTGTTCAGTGTTAGTTCATTTGTTCCCTTTGTTCAGTGTTAGTTCATTTGTTTCCTTTGTTCAATGTTAGTTCATTTGTTTCCTTTGTTCAGTGTTAGTTCATTTTTTCCCTTTGTTCAGTGTTAGTTCAGTTGTTTCCTTTGTTCAGTGTTAGTTCATTTGTTTCCTTTGTTCAGTGTTAGTTCATTTTTTCCCTTTGTTCAGTGTTAGTTCAGTTGTTTCCTTTGTTCAGTGTTAGTTCATTTGTTTCCTTTGTTCAGTGTTAGTTCATTTTTTCCCTTTGTTCAGTGTTAGTTCATTTGTTTCCTTTGTTCAGTGTTAGTTCATTTGTTCCCTTTGTTCAGTGTTAGTTCATTTTTTCCCTTTGTTCAGTGTTAGTTCAGTTGTTCCCTTTGTTCAGTGCTAGTTCAGTTGTTCCCTTTGTTCAGTGTTTTCCAGTTTGTCTCTTTGTTCAGTGTTAGTTCACTTGTTCCCTTTGTTCAGTGTTTGTTCACTTGTTTCCTTTGTTCAGGGTTAGTTCATTTGTTTCCTTTGTTCAGTGTTAGTTCATTTGTTCCCTTTGTTCAGTGTTAGTTCATTTTTTCCCTTTGTTCAGTGTTAGTTCAGTTGTTCCCTTTGTTCAGTGCTAGTTCAGTTGTTCCCTTTGTTCAGTGTTTTCCAGTTTGTCTCTTTGTTCAGTGTTAGTTCACTTGTTCCCTTTGTTCAGTGTTTGTTCACTTGTTTCCTTTGTTCAGGGTTAGTTCATTTGTTTCCTTTGTTCAGTGTTAGTTCATTTGTTCCCTTTGTTCAGTGTTAGTTCATTTTTTCCCTTTGTTCAGTGTTAGTTCAGTTGTTCCCTTTGTTCAGTGCTAGTTCAGTTGTTCCCTTTGTTCAGTGTTAGTTCATTTTTTCCCTTTGTTCAGTGTTAGTTCAGTTGTTCCCTTTGTTCAGTGCTAGTTCAGTTGTTCCCTTTGTTCAGTGTTTTCCAGTTTGTCTCTTTGTTCAGTGTTAGTTCACTTGTTCCCTTTGTTCAGTGTTTGTTCACTTGTTTCCTTTGTTCAGGGTTAGTTCATTTGTTTCCTTTGTTCAGTGTTAGTTCATTTGTTCCCTTTGTTCAGTGTTAGTTCATTTTTTCCCTTTGTTCAGTGTTAGTTCAGTTGTTCCCTTTGTTCAGTGCTAGTTCAGTTGTTCCCTTTGTTCAGTGTTTTCCAGTTTGTCTCTTTGTTCAGTGTTAGTTCACTTGTTTCCTTTGTTCAGGGTTAGTTCATTTGTTTCCTTTGTTCAGTGTTAGTTCATTTGTTCCCTTTGTTCAGTGTTAGTTCATTTTTTCCCTTTGTTCAGTGTTAGTTCAGTTGTTCCCTTTGTTCAGTGTTTTCCAGTTTGTCTCTTTGTTCAGTGTTAGTTCACTTGTTCCCTTTGTTCAGTGTTTGTTCACTTGTTTCCTTTGTTCAGGGTTAGTTCATTTGTTTCCTTTGTTCAGTGTTAGTTCATTTGTTCCCTTTATTCAGTGTTAGTTCATTTTTTCCCTTTGTTCAGTGTTAGTTCAGTTGTTCCCTTTGTTCAGTGCTAGTTCAGTTGTTCCCTTTGTTCAGTGTTTTCCAGTTTGTCTCTTTGTTCAGTGTTAGTTCAGTTGGTCCCTTTATTCAGTGCTAATTCACTTGTTCCCTTTGTTCAGTGTTCGTTCATTTGTTCCCTTTGTTCAGTGTTAGTTCAGTTGTTCCCTTTGTTCAGTGCTAGTTCAGTTGTTCCCTTTGTTCAGTGTTTTCCAGTTTGTCTCTTTGTACAGCGTTAGTTCACTTGTTCCCTTTGTTCAGTGTTTGTCCAGTTGGTCCCTCACCACCATTGTTTATATTACTGGCTTTACCCTTTTGTATATATTACAGACTTCACCGGCCAACATGTTTTACCCTTCTGTGTACATAACATGCTTCTCCGCGCCAGTGTAACTGCATCTTAAACTTACTCAACTGTAGAAAGACGGCCTCCTATCCTGCATGTATACTTGTCAACCTTAATCTGTACATCACTTGCTTGATAACAATGTTAGAACATACACTGAAACGTCGCTTCTTATTGTAATAAAGAAGTTGGTCATCCATATATCTAATCCTTACTTAGTACTCCAACTTCTAAATGCCTCCCAAAGAAGTCATTTCTTGTGTGTTTCAGTTTTAGACACCACCAAACGTGGGTGTATACTTTCTTTTGCCCGGCAGCCCGGATCGTATCGGCTGGGGCACATAAAGTGTGTCACTGTGGAGACAGGTGGAACAGAGAAAAAGAAATGTGCGTTAATAGCCGGCAGCTGATTCCACCAAGTCGGACAAAGACTGCTTGTTCTTGAATTTGAAATTTGCTAATAAGATAATTGATGCCTTATATTTAAGTAACTTTCTCAGACATGATATCAACCTTCGTCTGTTATTCCAATATGGACTAACATAATATGAGCAGCCTCCATCCCATTTGGATCACAACTTAAAAATAATTATGAATGCTGTCAAAGCATATGTCCAAACATGGGCCTAAAGAGAAGGGGAATATGTTGAATGTATTTCAGAGTGGATGAAGTCAGTGCATGATGTCATTGGTAGAGTGTACAAACTGAAAAACAGGAAGCAGAATCGGAACCTATTCTGTCCC